CTCACATCCAAGAAGAAATGCTTTATCGCTCCGACAACAGACGTGGCGTCGATCCAGTCAATGGGTTCGACAAGCTGAACCCAACTACACAATCGTACGTTGAAGAGGTCTTCTGTACTATTTTACAGATCAAGCCTGGAAACGAGCCTGGAGACTCATATATGCAACTGGCATGGGCTCTTCATTGCCTTGGTGTAGGCCTTTTCGAGTACAATCCTAAAGCGCGCACCACACCAGAGATGTTGATAGCCCAAAGGGTTCATGAGCAGACGAAAAAGGCAAAAGTTTTCATCTCTTACGACGACAGCGACTTCAATTTATCACACCTTACTGAAGTAGCGTCTCGTCGCGTTTGGGGTATGGATGATTTGAAGACCATCGCGGCGGAATGGATGAGCGGCAAGGACGAAGAGAAGTTATTGAAGCCGGGAAGACAACTCCTGGCAATCTGCAAAGCGGAATATGAGGACTTAAAAGAAAGAAAGGCGGTACGTGAGATGAACCCAGCCACGGTCGAAACAAACAGGACAAACCGTACGATTCGCCAACAGGACGCCAGTACGAGACAGCTTGGCAAAATGGAAGAACCAGACGAGAGAATGGCGCCTACTTACCGCACATTCTCGGAAAACTACAGAGTTCAGTGTTTCAAACCAAAAGCACGAAAATCTGCAAACGAAGAGTGCCAGCTGGCGGCGAAAACATGCCTGTCAAAAAGCACACATGTTAACAAGGTTGATGGCCGGGTTGGACGGTGCAGAACCAGCTCCAAGCACCCATCATGGTAAGTGATCGCGATTACATGATTTCTTATAACTTTTACTGATGGATCCAGTGAAATCTGCTCCGATAACAGTCCGGGAGTGGAGGGGCAACGTTGTCGGGGGTCGAAAGAACACTTCTACTGCTTGGAGTGTCTACAAAACCTGGCTCAGAGTACATTCGACAGCGGCGAAACCACGATTCGATGCCAGATAAGCTGGGAAGAATGTTCTGCTCCTTTTCTTGCTAGCCAGTTCCAGTTTCTGGAGTCGCAATTTGAGGACCCTCGTATGAGGTTACTTTTCGAACAAATTTCCCGCGACGAAAGTCGACGCGCTGTCGAGCTGGTGACCGAAGATGATGCCAGATGTCCTTTATGCGACTGGCCAGAGCAGTACCCTGATTTTGAAGAAGAACCTATATTCTTCTGTCGAAACCCCGACTGCGGCTCAGCGACTTGCAGACGCTGCTCACGTCAAGCGCAGCCTGGACATGAATGCAAGGAGACTACAGTCATGTCTCTTTCAGAATCCAAAGAAAAAGTCTTTGACTTGTTTTGCGAAGGTCTCTCGATGGCTGTCATACGCAAGTGCAAGTAAGTGGCTCGTTTCATCAATTCGTTGTTCATGGCTAACTTTAGTAAAGCGAATGTAATATCGAATTCATTCTCGGGGAAGCCTGCAACAAAATTGTTTGCGGCAAGTGCAAAAAGAAACAATGGTATGGAATCTTTCTCTTGAAAAGAAGGAATAGAAATTCCTGACATGATTTCGCAGCTATATTTGCCACCAAAGTCTTGGAGGTGCGACGGATGATAACGCATACGGCCATTTCACCACCAGCGGTGAAGAAGGAAAATGCCCTCTCTACAGAAACACAACCTTGTTGCATTTGGAAAACAGACATACATCACTGGAAAAGATTGCAGTCACGATCAGCACAGATTTTCCAGATCTGGCGCCCCTGGTGCAGGAATGTCTCGACAAGCACCGGAAGGAACTCCAAACAGAATTTGACAGCCTGTCAAAAATGAAAAACAAAGGCGTGAGTTTTCCAGCGATGTTTTGATTGCATTTTTTGTATTGCCTCGGTGTCTCATCCTGAGCATCTATGAAAAAACCAGATGAACAATTATTCAGCCTTAAGACCCACGAGCAAAAGAGCCTTGATATTTCATATTAGTAACTCGCATGTTATTTATTCATTTTAGTTTATTACGCTTTGGTGGAGAATTTTAAGAGGGCAACTATAAGCCTATGCTAGTATCCAATCTGAAGCTAAACTGTTACCCAGGAAGGACGGCCCGGCAGTTTTTTGCAGCCACAGTGACTCCAGTAGTCGACTATGCTCTTGACCTTCAAAGAAGGGTGGACTTGGAGTGAGGAACATCAGAACTATTTTCGTTATTTGGATAACGGAACCTGCGAGTTGCGCCGGAATAAAGCAGGCGAATCATCCTCCAAGTCGTCAGCACACAAAGATAAGCCATCCAAAGATGAGGAATCTTCCAAGGGCAAGGAGAAAGCTTCAGCCCATAAGGACAAGAAATCGAAGGATGAGAAGTCTTCTAAGGGCAAGGACAAGGCTTCTTCAACCCACAGAGAGAAGTCATCAAAGTCCTCTAAGGGCAAAGAGAAGGAAAAGGGGAACTAGCGCTGCCACCTCAGGTGTGGTGTCAGGCGGGGGG